CATTACTCAGGCTTGTTCTTGTATGACCATGTTTGACTTGGTCTTCAAGGAACTCTTTTATCTCTCATTGCATGCGTTTCATCCACTCCAATCGTTCCTTTTATGTAAATAGTAAAACTTGATCGTGCTTTCTATCTGTATTACTCATGTTTGTTCCTGTCTGATCAGTTTCTCTATCAGTTTTCCATTAACCACTCACGACTTTACAACCATCTCTCTTTAGTCCATCATTTCTCTTAATTTTTTGAATTTCCGTAGTGGACCACTAACGAGCCCCTCGTACCTCCAAAGCTCGACTCCTCCGGCTCTTGCCGCGTTTGTACCTAAACAATCGTGCATACCGCTCGTCGAATTGATAATTTCCCAGACCTTTGTGGTATTCCGTCTACGTCGACTGGTTTCCATGAAAATAGACGCTTACATTCATTTTGCGCGTAACTGATACGCCCAGATAGCTTTGCGAGAATATCAAACGGGTATCGATTCGACTTGGGTGGTACCTTACCGCGTAGCGGTCCGGTGAAAAACAAGACTTTGATTCTGTATCACTTCCATCGATATACTCGCGTTTCTCCAGCCGCGGGCAATAAAAGTATCGAAGGAAAAGAAACGATCAGTGTGTAACGAGCGCGTGCTCTCGATGAAAAAGAAATGAAAGACAGACGAGGCCATCTCCAACGTCGGCTCCCTTCAGCGAGGGCAATTTCCATGCAAACCTTTCTATCTCGGGCGGCCGCCTTAGGCCTAATTTAATTCCGACATACGAGAACACTTTCGTGATCACCTCATTTGCATTCATTCGCGCGCTAAGGCTTGCGTCTCATTTAAATACAAAGGAGCCGAGGACACTGCGTTGATACGCGCCATACTTAACGCTTAAGATCTATCATTCCATGTTACGTTTTAATTAAGCGGACTTGTAGCGCGGGTTTACTTAGCACGATGCCCTGGTTGGAAGACAGCCGAAGCCTGTACTCAAAGGCCCGATTCTAACAACATTTATGTATTTTTCTACACATAAATCTCTTCTAGAACTGCGCTATAGGAGGACTTCTTAACGTTTCTCCAAGTGTAGGGTGTACATTTTTTCAGATACAGCGTTCGTTTCTTGAATGCGAACTTGGTAGCGATTCTGTTTTGTGAACCGAGGGAATCTACCGATTTTTGCATTAACGTCGTTGAACCATTTTCTTCCCGATTACAACAGCTTGTAAATATAGTATTCAAAGGGGAGCAAGTCCGCGGAGCGATGTGCTCGAAAATTGAAACGCTTCGTTCCTGTCTAACGAACGAGATAGGGATGGGTTGCTTAGCTCTTCCAGTCGACTCCTCGCCAGCCAGTGCGCCCATTTAAACTCCATGTCTTTTTTCTCTACTCTTCTCGAAAGTGCGCCGGAGCTCACAAATCATTGTGTTAGGCACAATGAAAAGTTTCGTTGAAGTTGGCAAGATACCCCATAACTGGAGCTTGTAAGCACATGATGAAACAAATTTATGACAAAGAAATGGCGAGCTTCCCTTCTTTTTCCAAGAAATTCCTTTCTTTTCGGGGGTAGGGGACGGGCGAAACAATGTTTCCTCTCGCGTTTATTTGGCTTGAATGTTGTGCAAATATAAAAACTCGCCGGGATCATTGTCTGCGCTTGTATAATGGCTATGGCAAGAAAGGTGGACGAAAGGAGCCCTTAAATCGAGTTGGACTCGTAATCCGTTGTTTGCTTTTCAAGTAAACAAACAAAAAAATGATTCTTGCCAAGCTTGAACTCTCTATTTTCTAACGAGGTGGTAACAAACGACCGATTATTTCACTTTTGTGTTACGTTTACGTCATTTTCTCCGCAAGATTTAAGGTTAAGAACATCGTTGCGCAACGTGCATTTTCATTCCCGCGCGTTCCCCCGAATGTTTTTTCTCTTATTATCGCGGTCGAAACAATTTCAATCTCGCGTCCGCGTTTTACCAGAAAATGCTCGATCAAGTGAAGGGTTGGGTCGCTCTTAAAATTACCGTATACGGATTTTTATTTTCTAACGCAATTACGGCCAGGGTAAAATACGAGTGGCTGTTTATGAGGCTGTAGAGGCGATGGTGAAAAATACGACGGAATCCCATGATCCGGTAACGTGAAATTACCCGACGTGGGAATTATGATCGTGACTAATGCCGGGCGAATAATTAATCCCGTTTTTCTTCCGTGTCGACCAAAATCACGGCATGTTTTACAATATTAGCTCGGAACTGGAACAAATGAAGCTTCGACTACGCTTTGACGCAGAAATCGTTCAACAGAATTATACTTGTGCGTTCATAAACGTAAGAAAAGCGTACGTTTCTCGAGGATATTTAAAAATATCAATAGTCAATTACAATTATCCTTATAGAATCAATACGTAGAATATAATAATGATTTTCCCACAATTTTCAAATAATAATTAGACTATATTTCCACTGCCGTATATAATGAAATCCGGATATATGATACAACCAACCATATGTATGTATATGGCGTGAAAGGGACGACCACAGAACAGAAGTTCAATATTCGGCTACCACTATTGGAAACAAAATATATGAAACGGAGTAATCGTTTCGAATAATAGCAGAACTAATTAATGAACGTATCGATTGTTTCCTAACGAGTATAATGTTTCTCGAGTACAATCAAATTAAATATATACTTGAAAATTTGGTTGTGTCAATCGCGTCGAACAATTTGTATACGTTACTGATCCCTTTCTCCATACTCGTCGATTTTATTTAATCCAATATTAATTCTATCGATTTTAATCGCCAGCGGGTTTCGGTCCTCTTAAACAAGTTAGGTGTATTATCGATGCCTCCGTTGTACGCGCGAATTTAATTTAATTTGAATAAAGACTTTGACATATTTTAAACATTTACAAAATGTTTTAAAACAATGGTCCTGAGAATATCGTATCATTTTCCGTTTACATTCAACAATAATTATTTTTAGCCCGCAATTCTATAAAGAACGTATTCGATTATTTTACTACCGGAACGCGTTACTTTACTTCTTTTTCTGTTCGATACGGTTAAATTTTCAGATTTTCCAATATCGCTTATATTTTTCGACCGCTTCCTCCTCGATATTGCGAAATCTGAAACTATTTATTCCCTTGACTTGCCTTCCGCTCTCCTCTCTCGCATTTATATTCCTTCCTTTTCACTCGAATCGCGTTCTTTCGGGACACCGCGATCAAAGACCATGCGATCATTTTGGAATAGTATTAGAAGCAATTTAATTTCTAACGTTCTCCAGTTTTTAGATTTCACAAAGCTTGTAGAAAAGATCTATCAATAATAAGAAATTTTATGGAAATTTCTCTTCCCACTGTGTCTCCCCTCTTGATTTTATTAAAAACTTTGCAGGTGTGTAGACACGTATTCTTTTTAGTTGCAGTAACGCAAGTTTAAAAAGTGAAACTACCCTCTAAAGTTCCACCTCCTAAGCACTCTTGAAAAGTATCGGAGATATGAGCAAGTTTTCTGAATAAATTGTTCAGTTTTTTTTTTTTTTTTTGTAAAACATGATATTCGTAGCACCAGTACGAAAAATGAATAAAACATGCTCAACAATAATGGATATTCATTAATAATTTTCAGTTATGAAATGGACTTCCAATAAATCGTAAAAAAAAACATTCGTAAAAAAAAGGTCGATCATATTAAATTTGCATTTCGTGTATTTAACCGTAATAAATAACATAAAACTCATATTTCAATGCATTCGCGAACCGAGTCGCCGTTAGCCGGTTTGTCACAATCACGATCAGCCTCCTAAAGAAACATACAACACTCGTTGCAAGAGGTCGAGAGGCGAAAGCATAGAAAATATCGTCGGAAAAGACTGCGGGCCGTTCGTTCGCCCACAACTTCGAGATTTAATTACCGACGTCACCAATGTCACATTTGAAAGTATCGAATGTGTATACAATCAATAGGCACAATACCAACGCGATCGATTTTTCAATTGCGCAGAATAAAATAAAAGCGAAGAGAAAAAGGTACAGGCGCAAAAGGTAAAAATATAATTGAATATGCGCGCCTCTTTTTCCTCGATACATCAAAGAACACAGTTTGAGAAACACGTTATAGCTGACAACAGGTACTCTTTATTGAAGTATCCATATAAAAACGCGTCGATGTAGTAATTAACACTCCGCACTGTAAGATCAGTTCAAAGGTAGCAAAACTATTATAATACTTGAGATAAAGGTCGAAAAAGTATCGTACTGTATACAAATGATATTATGATATTCCCTCTGAAAACCATAAGAATAAAATCAGAGTTGGTCGATAAAAAAGAGAGAGAGAGAAAGAGAGAGAGAGAGGGGGGGGGGACAGTTACAGCGCAAATGGTTAATAAACTCGCAATGTTGAAAAGAGTCAGGGCAAATCCCAGTTTCCGTTTCACCGATCCGTCCCATCCAGAATGCATTTCACGCTGTATTGGTAAATGGCCGCGTTGATTTTCTTCAGTCTCTCGATCTCTTCTCTCATCTCGAGCAGATTACGCAAAGACGGATCATCCGATCCAGCCGCCTCGTTCTCGACGTAAGCGTCGAAGTTCAAAACATCCGCGGGATTTCGATCCCGCGAGATCACCTCGATGGAGGAGCTCTGCTTCCCATCGGTATCGTCCGATATCCTCTGCAGGTTGGATACTTGCAAGCGCGGCTTAAGCTCGGTGACCCGGAAGTTCTCACAGTATTTCGCGAAGAACGCGGCCGTGATTGGTCCCTTGTGATCGATCGTTCGAAGAATTTGTCTGCTGGCGATGTCCCAAACGTGAACTTCCCCGCTGGTGGAGCCAGTGAGCAGATAACGAGAGTCTATCGATATCGATAAGGCCACGATCGTCGATTTATTCCCCTGGAAGATCACGCCTTCGGAATTGTTCTTCCCGACCTGCACGTGATGCTCGATACCGCGTGGCGGTTCGTGAAGGTTGAATCGATAGACGCTCCCGTCGGTACAGCCGACGAACAAGTCGCTTTCGCGCGCGTTCATGCGAACCGCCGTAAGGGGCACGTCGAACACTAGGGTGAGCAACAGTAGCCCGCTGTTGGGCTCGTAAATATTGCACGTTCTATCGAGTGAAACGGAACATAACCTGCCTCGAGCGTGGCCGAATTGTAGATCCTTGACTGGTAGGGAATGATGAGAAAATCCGTGAAGAGGGGCGGCTCTTTCGTCGTTGAGAACGCGGTACAAGCTCCACACGAACACCAGACCGTCCTCGGCCCCACTGGCGAAGCTCGAGCCGTCTTTGCTGAACGATAGACAGTTCACGGTTTGATAGTGCTGTGATAAATTGGCCAGCAATCGACCGTTGCAAACTTGCCAGATAAACAGTCTCTCGGAGATTGCTGCTACCATGTAAGCACCGCTCGGGGTGCACGCCAATGCTGTTACCTTTCCAGGCGTTGTTAATCTTAGGTTAGGCACGGGACTTGGGTTGTTCAAGGGCCAAACGTATATTCGAGGCTTCGTGATATCAGCTCCTATCATGTAACTGTCGCTGAGGAGTTGAAGAGTTCCGTGCGTCAGGGCGCCCGCGTTCTTGTAGGTCGATAACGATGAACCGGTTCGAGGATCCCACACGGAGGCACTCCAGTGCTCTCCGGCGCTGTCACTGGTTATTATCACTTCCTTTGTGTCGGCGATTCGCGACATTCTTATTTTCTTTAGTATACTTGGAAATACTTAACTGTTCACATGGTTCACGTCCACTTATTTTTACTTAAACTAACACTACCGTCGATCTCAATTTGAAATTTACACACGTGTGTTACTGGAGGTTAGATTTTGATGGATACTTACTGCGCGTGCGCGTCAGGGAAGTATTTCAATCGAGTGGAAACGGGTATCGTTGACTCCTTGATTTTTAAAAAGTTTATTTGGAGATGTCTGAAACAGACATGTAGTTTTATATAACGCAAACTGTAAATTTTATCTCGCAGAAATTGCTAAATCTACTACAAACTATCAGTATTCAAATATTAGGCACTTCGCTATTTTTAGCTGGGCATGCGTGTAGAACGCAACCTAGCATCACCGTCTAGATTAGGTTTGTTCCATAGAGTGTAGTGATCATAGAACTACCTCTAAATGCACGTTTTTGGAGTCCTCGAATCAGACATGGACAAAATTTTAAAGTAATAAATGGTAAAAATTAATTAAATACTTCATTTCCTCTAAATAATCACAACAGATCGATACTCACATTGAACAAATATCATGAATGCAATACTGCAAATATCATGAATGCAATACTGCAAATAAAATTCAAATAAAACTCTGCCATAAACATTGATCAAATAGGTAAAATAAACTTGCACTTGTCTTTTATTCTTGTAACACACATTAGTCAAAGGCAATGATTAAGCGTATAATAATGTCAATTATGCAACAACACACTATTGTATGCAACTGTTGTATTTACATAAATGCTGCACGATGATTGGACGTGATCGTCACTGTATAGTGTTCGTGTGGCTTTTATTATTGTAAACAAAATAAAGCATCGTTAATTATAACTGTTCATTAATTTTTTATCTGTTCTAAATTTTAGTACTTAACACACTCTGTGTTATTAAATTAACTAATAACGTTGGTTAGTTGATTTGCGTTTCAAAACACGGATCTAGGAAGCTCGAATTGTTCGACCTTGATCGTGATCGCATGACATAATCCTAATTTGTGGTAACAAGTAGCGGTTTCGTATCTTCCTGTGTTGGTTTGGTTATGTTATGTTAAGCCCAGAAATATCCGATCCGATTTGCTGATATAACCGACAAGTGCTAGATCACGTAAACAAACTAGTCTCAATTTTCTCATGGGCTTTATCGACGATGAATTGCAAGAAGTATCAAAACTCTGTAAAAATGTCGTCGACGGTAGCCGTCTCGTTTCCTGTGTGCGCACAATGGTGCGAGTGGAAATAACGTATGTTTGTTTCTAACACCACCTACGTGAAGTGAAAATAATCTGTGGAATTATAAACATTCTTAAATCCATAGGAAAACAACGTTCAAAACGATTGTTGCGTGCATTCAGTTTCCAGAGGACTATCCACGTACGCCACTGTTAATAGAATTGAAAAGTAAAACTCTGTCCGCAAAGTTATTGGATGGCCTAACAGAAGTTTGCGAGAAGGAATGCAAGAAACTCTTAGGCAAGGCACAGGTATAAATACTTTAATCTTTTAGAAGTAATGAATTTGCTACATAAACTAACACTATACGAATTTTGTTGTTACAGATTCTTCCAATATTAAAATTAATCCGTAACTTCATTGATGAGAATCCTTTGATATGCTGTTATGATGAAATTTCTGCCTTAAAGAAGATTCTAGAAAATGACGACGAATTGAAATTGAAACAGAAATATTCTAGTATCGGCCTAAAGATTCAGCAGGGATTGTATTACTTCAAAGCCAAAATTGAAGTACCAGATGACTACCCAAATGCTTGCGTAAAGTATGTGTAACCAATGAGTAACTTTTATATATATGAAAGATTACTGAATTTAAACTTTTATTATAATTATTCTAGATTAGAAGATGCAGACTCCAATTTCCCTCCATTATTTACACGCTACTTTTTGGGACAAGGAAGAGAGTTCGCTAGACAGTGCGTAGAGGCACCATTGAAAAAGCAATTACAGAAAACCCCTTTCACGCCATCGCCGTCCTTAAATACAGTTACTTCCTTTCTTATAAGGTACTAGAATTTATCACTATTCTTTTTTTTATTAAATGCTACTTCTATTTTTAATTCGAATTTTTTTCATCTAGAGCTGTAAAGACTTTACCACAAGAACATTGTCAGTTATGCAGAGAATTATGTCTACCAGAGAATCCAGAAAAAGCAGAGAACAACGAAAATGCAGATATGCACGTAGAAAGACTTTATTGTGGGCATTTATTTCATTTGCAATGTCTTGTGACATTCATGAAGACTCCTCCATTCCATGGTATGGAAATAATTTTTCGAAATATTATTGGAATTAACTAATTTTCAAAATAATTTCGCACTATGATTCTATTTTAACATTATTACATGAAATGATTTTGTTCTATAGGGGGTAAAAAGTGTCCTACATGTGGAAAACGTATCTACCATGACAAGTGGGGACTAAGTGACAAACTTGCAGAGGATCGCTGGGCACACCATCAAGCACGAGCGAGAGAGTTAGCAGAAGTAGCTGATTTCTTCAATTGAAATGTATACTTCATTCGAGTTGTATATTGAAAACCTGCAATGTTCTTGCGGTAAATGTAACAACAAGTCTCAGCTAACGTATTGCCACGAAAAGATAAACGAGGTGATATTACAATACTAAACTTTTAAGAAATTATTTGTAATTAAACGTGTTGTAAGTAATATTCAAGAATGAATATTTATAGGTCAGTTAAAGAGAAGGTATTTTTAATACCGTAAAGTATACTATAATACACTGAAGTTTATATTTATATTGCACTTTATAACAGATCGCTTGACATGGTGCTAATAATATCAAGCAGTTGCTAATTGTCAGTCATTTCATTTATATTATATTATAAAAGTTCGCAATATATCGTTTTATCCAACTTGACAAATTTATTAACCAAATAAGTTTTCCAAGTGTCGTGCAATTAATGATAATACAAAAGAAACATAGATTATGTGGTAAGTTTTGTATCTTGTATCTGAATTTGTATCTGAAACTACTTTTACAATTGATTTTGTATTATGCCAATGGCAAATGTGAAATAGAAATCTGTGTTCCATTAAAGTGTTTAGGAAAATTAATCAAGATGTTCGTAATTAACGTATATTGAAAAACTTTACCGTTTGTTGGCTGAATGCTTGCATATTCTATGTAGGATGCACGTTTTAGTGTTCTTCGGTACTTGTTAATCACTTGTTATAAATAATCAACCCACGCTGTCGCTGCACAAGACGAACTTCGAATGCCAAGCACATTCTCGATGTGAAAAAAGCGCGGTATATTCGAACACTGATTCAAGCGCCACTCGCGGTACACAAGAGTCAGTCGATAATATCGATATCACTAAATACAAACTTTTAATGTTCTATAATTAATATTAACTTTGGAAACTGGTTACTTTTAACCGTACAGTTTCAAAATAATTAATTTTTACGAATTAAATGAAGTGTTATACGGAACTTTTAATCGTGTGTGTGCGATTCTCGATACATGTGATCGAAATTGTGTGTCAAGTAAAATAACATTATTAATTAAAATATAAACAAATGTACAGTGTTTTTTGCATTTATTTATATTTTATTAAAGAAATACGTTGAAATTACGTGTATTAATTGATGAATATTGATTCTGCGATTATTTTACGACGACACAATTTTATCGTCAAATCGATAATCGAAAAAGAATCGATGCGTGGCAACGACGCAAGGAAGACAGTCGAGGTAAGAACGCTTGATGTTTATGGTGTGTATTAGTGACTGTGTGCTGTGAAATATTGATCCTTGGTACCGACTACAACGATCCTCCATTTATCTTGCCCTCGTACTGGCTTACGTTGCGCAGTTTCTGTGGATATATTTCCATTTGTTCGTCGGTTCGTCTTTCGGTAACGCTGATATTCTTTCCACCCCACAAAGAACGATGCTTCGCGTCATTAGGTGGAGCCACCGGAAAGGTAAACAGAAAACTTTTATTTACGAACTGGCAACGATAACCCAATTTCAGGAGCAGTTGTTTGTTTCGAACAATCATTCATCATGCACGTGGCATACGATGGCATACGATGGCATACGATGTACGTGGCACGATATATCGAAGCTAGAATACAGAGTGTCCCAAAAATGTTGCAACACTTTGAAAGGGGTGGTTCGGGAGATGATTTGAAACAACTTTTTCCGTAGCGAAAATGAAGCTTTATTTGAGGAGATATTAATAGAAAACCCCGACCAATCAGAGCGCGTGTGTACCGTTGGTGCGGCCGTGGTAGCGAAGGCTACGCGCTAAGCGGCCGCGTCAATGTCCTTCGATGCACGTCGAGTCACTTGTTCGCGTACGAGCGCGGCCGCCTAGCGCGAAGCCTTCGCTACCACGGCCGCTCCAACGGTATACGCGCGCTCTGATTGGTCGGCGTTTTCTGTTAATATCTCCTCAACGAAGCCTCGGACGACATTTTCGCTAAGGAAAAAGTTGTTTCAAATCACCTCCCGAACCACCCCTTTCGAGGTATTACAACATTTTTGGGACACTCTGTATACCGAAATCGATTTCTTCCTACGAATCAATTTTCTCGCGAATCGAAGGTATCTATAGAACTATAAATTCAGCGACGCATGTGTGTTAGAAAACATTAGGGAGTGGTTTGATTTTAAAAGTTGTTCTCCGTGGATTTTAACGACAATGTGATGTTGAAATCTACGAATACTTGATTTCATTTCTGGCACGTGTAGTATCGACTCGGTAACAGAAACGTCGACGTTATCGACCGTCTTGCGCGACTTTTCCTTGGGTTATTTGGGAAAAATAGTTTCGCGTTGAGAACGCAGCTCTGACAGGGGCCAAAGAATTGGTAAACGATATTGATCTAACAATTTCGTTGGCGGTAATGAGTGCACGCGAGAGATATGTAACTTGATTAACTGTGCTATATAATTACTTTAACACGATTGGTAAGGTTTTTCGCGTAGATGCACGTACATGGTTCTGGCAGACAGCCTGTCAGACTAATTCCCAGTTATCGATTCCACGCATACGTGGAAACGCACCGTTGTGTTGCATTCGTAGGGTGGGTGAACTGTGTATTTCTTACACACCAGTTCACCAAAATATGTTACAGGGAACAGACGACTCTAATCGAAATATTTTGTCTTTCTCATTTTAGAAATACCGTGAAAATTACTCAACGCGGGTAGTATTAATTTTGTTTACAATTACTACGAAAGGGGTCACTCGATATTAAAATACATGTTGAGTAGTGAATAGGTTAGATTAAGGCACTCGCAGTTAATAATTGTGTAAGTATGGAATACATATATTTATAAATAAACTGCGGATTTTTCGGATATCGGAAACCAATTGTTTACTTTATTTTCAACAGAATAATTCATCCAACAATAGAAGCTGTTTCATTAAAAGTAAACAAAAAATCATTTTGCTATCGCAATCTTAGAATGATGTGATGCGATAGTATATCGAAGTTAATGCACAAAAATATTTTTCTCTCATATTTTAAAAAATATGGGACATAAAGAGCTCAACTTATTGGCCTGGTTCGAGCTGATCTTTGGGTAGGATTAAATGTCGAGGAAAAAAGAAAAGCAGTCGTCCCGAATAACGGTGCCGCGGTCACCGTCATTGCGATCACCAGTTAGGCGGCCAAATTTTGGAGATCGTCCTTGTGATCTAGCCCCCGGCTATGCGCGTACCAGGGTCGTATTATACACACGATACACCTATAATTGCACGTAGGATAGCTTCGTCGTAACGCTTCGTGGATCGATAGCTGGGAAATGGCCGGAAGCCAAGTCCGGCGACGTCGTTTCGAGTTTTGCCGTTGTCACCGTATGGGACCTAACCCCTTTCTTGAATGTCCCACTTGTATCGGCCACCCCCCCCCCCCACCTCTTGCCCGTCCAACCCACAGGGACGCGGTGTCCCCTCTTTTCGACTTTCGTTTCGTTCTTGGAGCAAGATTCACGCCTTTTTTCTTCTTCCTTCTCATCGTCCTTTCGGGATGAATGAAGAGCCTGGCGTTGAAAATGCTCTCGAAGCTTGCCTTTAAGGAACAAGGTTAATTCTCCGTTCTCTAAACTAATATCCTCATCAGAATTTTTGTAAGGTTTCTTGGTCATCCGTTGCACTTTAAAATGAATTGAACGTTTTGAGTAGTTTTATATCTATTCCTCGCGTTTTTTTTTTCTATTTTATTTCCCCCGTATTCAATGTACTCCTTACTATCACTCGCTTGATACTATTAGGGGGACCAGAAAATAACGTCGTACCTTTTACATTAAATTCAAACAAATACACTTATAACAAGCTTTTATTTTCAATCAGTTATGTAATCGCTCTCGTTATCAACAACCTTTTGGTACCTGGTGTGCAAATTTTCAATACCTGATCGATTAAAATTGGTATACAATGAGAAGATAAATGATAAACAAGTATTGACATTCGCAAAAACGACATTACGTTCTGGTCCTCCTAATACATATTTCTTTATTGTGGATAGCTACTTATTTCTTTTTAGCATCAAAAGAGCCCGTTTCGAGGAATGATACAGCTTGTTATTAATTATGGGTGGTGTAACGTGGGGCGAGTTGCGAGTTTTTTCACCTGCTCCCTCGAGAGCCCATTGTTCGTCTTCCTTTATACGTTCAATCATTGATGCTCGGGAATCGTGATCCGGGTTGCGCAATAGACGCAACGCAGGGTGCCATTTGTCCCAGCTTCTTTAAATCCTCAAGGGCGGCTTCGGAAAACACCCCCCGGTGAAACGGCGATATCGAAATATGATGGCGTGTTTAACCAGCGGGGTGCATTGGCGAATAATACACGCATTGTTTCTTTTTCCCGTCGCGAAGAGATTGGATTCTCTATCATCCCGAAAGTTTCACTGATTATATTAGTTAACTGTTTTCATCCCCCGCATTCCACATCGTGAACAAATCGCTCGGAAATTGTTTTGGAAATATCGTTTCAGAGATGAAATTCCATCATAAACGGAATACCTATCGAACTCCGTTAATTGCAACGCGAACCCGATCGAAAGAATAATAGTTTTTTTCCAATTTTCAGTCGAAACATCAGCGCTGGATGCGAATTTGAAATAATAATGCAAGACCGAAATGTGTCGGTAGAGGTACCGTAGCTAAGGGCGAAACATCAAAGGTGTCCAAGGATTCGCCGACCGTTCTGTTTCGCTGAAAGTACGCGTAACATTCTAAAGAATTCCCCCCCGCTTTGTAGGGTGGATTCCTTATCCTGGAGGATCTGAAAGGCGACGGCTGGCTGACCGAGGAAAAGAAAGGTGGATCGTGGCGCGTGCCACGCGAAGGGTGACCACACGGAGGATCCTTTATTTTGTGGAAGATCGTCCGCATGACACGAGCGTCCACGTATTCCTTTCACCCAGGAACAATGGGGGTCGTGTCCGAAGGACGTATCACCTCACAGCCAAGGGTAACGGGCAACGTAAATGATCCATGAACGCAGCTGCGTGTGTCTTTCCACGAACTCTCTTCCTTTAATGTGCAAATCGCCTCTTCGACCAAGCTACGTTCTATCACTCTTCAACTATCACCAACCTCTCAACTGCAGGAGTTTATCCTTGAAGCACTACTCCACCTTCTTCTGACTTCTGAAGTGGTTCGATTCCTCAGTTCCGAGGTACCAGAGGAGTTCATCTAGTTCATCCTCTCATTTCTTCGTGTACTTTTGTAGTTCGGTTCCTTACTTCTGAAGTGCTAGTAAAGTCTATCGCTGTATCTAGCCTTCCGCTTCTGAACTCCCGTAGCTCACCTCTGAAGTACCCGCTGGATAAATCCACCTCATTGAACTAACACTGTACTTGACTTCCCGACTTCTATGCTATTATTGCAGTCTTCGCTTCTGTTATGTCACTGCAGATGTCCTCTCCGTTTCCGAACTTCTACCGTAGTTCACCTACTTCTGAAGTACTACTGCAATCTACCTCTTGTCACCCGAGGTTTCGATACGATCCAAATTGGAGATTATTGGAAAATTTTATTGTTCGTTTGCAAAGAGGCCTTTCAAGAGGAGGCAAGAGACTATCATTGGTGATAGTTGGGGGACCTACACTTCCAAGTTTAATCACTAATATACATTCCCAGACCTCTCCCACCTAAAATACTATCGATTGCTTGTAGGAGAAGATGCCAGAATATCAAGACCATCCACGGTCCAAGCTAAGGCGACAACAAAAGGAGAAAGGAGGTACGCAGGAGGGTCATAGGCGACTCGCGTGTACCAGCAAGTCACAACCATCCAGCGAAGGCATTACTCACAGCGCAACTGAAGTTTATGGCTTTACATAGCGCACCTCAATTATTGTGAAGTCCTAGGCTTCCAGGAATAAGAAATACAGTATTTGGTTGCATCAGACACCGCTAACCGTTGGCTACAGTTGGGGACCTACACCCCAAAGTCTACATCCCTAACCACCACCACCACACGGAATTCCCAGATCTCTCCCACCCAAAACACTATCGATTACTCGTACCAGAAGATGCCAGCGTACGCGGGGGACCGTCAATAGCCCAAATGCGCGAATGTTACGATTCCACGGTGAAAGGCGGCAAAAGGTGGAGAAAGGAGGCATATAGAGGAGGGCCTGGGCGGCTCGCGGGGTCCCGCAACAACAAGTTGCAACCACCTGGCGAGGGTAACGCCGGCCACCCAGTGGCCTCCAGGTGCTCTCGAAACCCCCTGTCTCGTCCCGCATACCTCCTGGTAACGTAAACGTCACGGCTACCCAGGAAAGACAGGCGACTGGCCTGGCCGATCTCGAGGAGACTCGGCCAGCATCTCTCTCCCTCTGCGGAGGGCAACGGTATCGTTCTGGAACACGCGCGAATCAACGTTCCAAAATCGATACGTACATCTGCCGCAACGTAGAGTCTATTGACTCCATTCGCCGCTGCTCCCAGCATCTCCAAGGCGACTCAGGAAGGAACGCGTCGCGTCCCGCTTTCACGTTTCCACGAAATTTGTTAGGAGTGGCTCTTCCGTCGTGCGACCGCCGCGACGACCCGTCTTATCGGTCCCATAAGGTTTTACGGATCAGTGGAACGATTTCCATGCCATTACGCGACATTCGTTCAAACGGATAGGTCGCCTCGCGGGGCACTGACTCCTCGGTCTTCCGTCTTTCCGTTCCACAATGGGATTTTCGGCGTTTGTTCTCGAGATGGAGCGACGAGGTCTGCGAGTCGGACCTCGGAGTTAACGGGTGCAAGGGCTGGAAGGAGAGGAATTTTAAATTAGCTTTTGGGGACGATGGTAGGAGGTCCAATTCATCGGGAATTTTATTTTTCCGGCTGGTATTAGCGGAGGGTACCGTTGGTCAAAGTTTGACCCTTTTGGTTCTTTACCTTTTCTGGTGTTTCGAAGTAATCAGAGTTCAACATTGCATCGAAGGAAATGTTCGCGACATTTTTTAAAATTGTAGTAATAATTTGTGGACGTTTTTCAATCGCGTCATATTTTCCAACGAGGAGTTTTTCTTCGATTTGAGTTGGAGTATACTTTCGCGAAGTTTTGCGAAATAGTTATGCAAAGAAACTATTTACATGCACTCAGAAATGTGTGCCAACGGGGAGATGAGGAAAAAGGTGCAGTAAATTTTTATGGGCTGCGGTCAGCCTTACAGCACGAATAATAGCGTTCCGCAGTAATAATGCTTTCAAAAGTATATCTAGCAAATATAAAGTGTTTGTGGGCGTACCTACCAACCGAACCACAAATCAATATGGATTTGTGAAATTTCGATATTCCTTCGACTCGACGCGATAAGTTCTATTTTGAATTTATTTTTCCATCATTCTAATCGTAAATACCGATTCACACCACTTTGGTACGATATTTTAATCGGGAGTGTAATTCATAAGGAACGAAGAAATTCAACCCTTTTTAGGCACCACCAGTTCCATGATAATTTCTCTATCGATGCACGCTATTAGTTTCCGCAATCGATCCGTGTCACTCGACACCGTCGTTCATGGGACACCATTCATGCACTGGACTGTAAAAAGAGAATACGTATCCGTTCATCGACGAAGGTAAACGTACGCTCGGGTATACGCGTTGGAACAGATAGGTGCGGATCCGAGGGCTGGGATTATTCCACGAATAATTTTCGAGTAATAAAACTTCCTATATCTGCGCCAACTCGTTTAATTAAATAAATTCGTATTCGAGTACCTATTGAAACAACAATTAACGGTAACATTACTCTTCAATCGTATTCGATAATTCCCGAAGCGACTAAAAATGGCGAGGTTAATATTTAAACCGATAGTACACCCCCTCCAGGTTGGGTAACAGCCGGGAAAGTAAAAATTGGAGAAGAATTCCCAAGCCCTAGTAGATAGGGTAGAACGTCAAGGGATAGAGAGAGAGAGAGAGAGAGAGAGAGAGAAAGAGAGAGAGGGGCGAAGCGAGAGAAAGAGGGTAGGCGGTGTTCGTTGATGGCACAGGTCGCGGGGGTGGTTTCGAGACGTCGCGTTGCGGGGCATCGATTTCGGGCCAGGCCGATGGCATCGGCGGGGTATCGAGGGGGTGTCCCGACGTCGTGGCGAGAGCGCGTCGCGGCGCTGCTGCTGCCACTGGCGGCAAGTCGTTTCTCGAAAGCGTTCGCTTAACTGGCAGAGCCGCTATTGCCTCTGTTCGCAGCACGTCCTCTCCTCGAAGAGAAGATTCGCCAACGAAACCCGCCTGCGCGAGTCCGGGACGTGCTGTACGAACGCGCGACGGAGGTAGCCGAACTGCACCACTGCTAATCCAGCGGTCGCGACGAGGATACCACCACTTCGGGGTCTCGTTAGAGCTGGGGCCTCCGACTGCTTTTGCCACCGCTAGCCGACTGGCTGCCGTGGCACGGCGCCGTCCGCGAACGCGCGTATATTCGTACCTAGAGTCAGTCAGTCTACGTCGAAGTGTCCACGGCGACGGATCAGCCGGCGAGGTCTCGCGCGACGGTTTCGTAACTTCGGGGGTTAAGAATATAAAAGCCAAGGGAAGGGACGACGTGACGGGCGAACCAGAAGAGAGCGCACAGCCGTGGATCGGTCGCAAGGATCAGACTCGTCGAGGATCGTCGTTACGTCTGGAGGGCGTGCGGCACGAATGCTCGGTGCAGGCGGATGCGCCGGTGCACCAGCTGCAGCTGCCACTGCCGCTACTACCGCCACTGCTACCAGCACAGTGCTGCTACCGCTGCTGCCGCCACCGCTGGTGCTGCTGCCGCTGGCAGAGCCTCGCAGAGGTGTCCACCTCGTGGCAGTCGACACTTCCTACCGGACGGTGGTAGTGTCCAGGCGCGCTGGACACACGAACCGCAGCCGGTCGCTGCTGCTGCTGCCGTTGTTCATCGAGCGTTAGGATTAAAAGAGGCACGAGCCGTGGAAGGAAGAAACGCAGAAAGAAGAAGGTGGTCGGTGACGCGGTGGTGACGGGATTTTTTTTTTTTGTTGGTGGTTGTTCCTCGCGGGGAAAATTCAAGGACGGTGGAAAAAAAGGGGCTAGGGAAGGAAAGAGTGCGACGAACCCTTCCTCCCTTTCACGCGGCACACACTCTCGCACGTATACTGACGCGCGCGACGTGTCGCCGGTAATATAGCGTGCGCGCTTTCGTTTAGAGGGTTTCCTTCCCTCCGACGTCGACGCGCCGTAGGAGTGCCGGAATACACGCGGTGGCTCCTCTTCAAAAGTCGACTTTTCGTCGAGGGTGAATTTCGTCTGCTTTCCCTGCTACGCACACCGATCCTCGACGGGGCAGGGAAAACTCTGCCGCACCGGGGGACAGGATTACAGTTTTCTAGGGTCGTCGTCCTGGGGCCTACCTTCGTGCACGGTGTCTGGCTCCGGACGCCCTGTTTTTTTCCGCGGTTTCTTCTTTTCTTTTTTTTTTTCTTTTCACTCGGTTGGGAAAAGAACGAAGATGAAGACCTGTCCCGGAGAACAGTAGAGCCGATAACGCGCTCGCGTGCTGCTGAACCATAAACAATTCAGTGCGACGTGACAAGGCAACGTTTCGCGTCCAGGTGAACACGGTCGAATCCCGCGGTCGGGAATTGATCCCGGTTACCGTCGATAGACGCGAACACCGAAGCCAGTGTCGGGGTCTAACCATCCCCGCAGACGGTTCGATCGTCGGACGAAGGAAGAGAGGCATCGAGGCAAAACGGAGAAGTGATTCGTCGGGGTTGTGCTGGTGGTATCGGTAGATCTCGACGGCAGCTCGTGGTGATGCCTCGCAGCAGCGGCACGTCTAGATCGCTGGGTGTCGTAGGTAAGGACGCCGCAGGTGCAGTCCCGGTTGCGTACCAGGGTGTTGGGAGAAGGATACGCTGACGAGTGCAGCCCCCGGTGGCACGGCAGTCGTCGCTCCTGCAGGCCATGTATTACGGTCCGGCAATCGACCGTACCGGCAGCAGCTGCAGTGCCAGCGACCTTCAGCAGCCGCGATCACCACGTCGACGCGGCGCCACGACGACCGGCGTCCCCGAGGACGCCGACGCCGAGGAGGAACTCCTGTTCCCGCGACAGGAACCGGCATACGTCGTCCTCGACGTTCAACCAAGGCGGTCCGCGGATGTCTGCTGCAGCACCTCATGTCACGCGGGTCAAAGGCCAGGCAGAAGACGAGCCGGCGGAAATGCGGTTAGGATATTCCTGCTCGCCACTGCCGCTGCCTTCCTCGCACTCGCCGTCTCTCCTGGTAAGTCCTTACGTACACCTCGATGACTCGAGTTCTTTAATTGTCACAAGGCTACGGTCCTTTGATTGCCTGGGGCTCTATGCCCGTAGTCATACAGCTGAGTGGAAAGACTTGAATCCTTGAATTGTCAAGGAAACTTTAGGTCTGAACCTTTTAATTGTTACGAGAATCGGTTAATCAAACTGTATGTCGACCAGACTCAATTCGTTTAATTCTGGTACAGAAGAGTAGGAAGAACAAAATTTGTTCACTGAAGACTCGAATCCCTTAATCGTCACAGAACCGAGTCCACCAGATTTAAGTCACCGGACCTGATCTCTAAAAGACTCTGTTCCTATATTCAATTTGATGAATTCATTGGGAGAGTTACATGTGATACGAAGAGCTAGAAATGATGCCCTGGAAAAGTAATCATTTTCGAATATTCTGATCCTGAAATCATCCGAAGGCATTCTCTCTAGCGCCTCGGTTTATTAAGTTCGGTCTCGATGAGACCTACTTTCTGCATCCAAGTTACCTCTGAATTTGATCATTCTCTCGCGAGTAATTGATTTTGGTGGCCCTCGAGAGGTTAACCGAGCGTGATCGCTGAACATTGAGGTTGTGTTTAGGACACATGTACCTAAATCGGTTCTAGACATCAAATAACGGTGGGCGATAGTGGACCTAGATTCGGCAAGACGAGCTCCGACTTCTTGTGCCTATTCTATCGTTCCATATCGTGGGGAACGATTCCTTTCGGTAGCCTCTGACCAAGCGTGATCAATGGGCGCAGGGTTAGATAAGATTTAGATGTGAAATAATGGTGGGTGGTACTGGACCTACTTTCGGCGAGATTTACTCCTCTATTATACTGTCCCTCCGTCTTGTACTTAGTAGTCTGTTCGAATAACCAAGCGTGACCAATGGACATCGAGGTTTAGTATCGATAAGACTAGATTTCAATTTAAACTATGCGATCACTTTCGGTCACTCTGATAGGATAACCAAATTGGATTAATAGAGACTGGCTAGAACCTGAAATAATAATTGATTATGCAAGACTTACTACAAATAACTCTTGCTTCAATCTCATCAAATCTTTTAGTTTGTCGATTTATGACAAGGATCTGAGACAGACTACTCAGTTCAGACTTAAAGTCTTGGTAGCTCGGATTAGACCTAATCGCGATAATTAAACTGCTCCTTCCACTGTACTCAACGATGATTCCACGTTAAGGATCCAATGTACTCGGCTCTGTTCATCCACCAATCGTAGGTCAGACACCTACGTTTGTTCCAAAGGAATGTCTCCGGAGACCTCACCGAAGCGCGTTGACCGGAGTCGTCAAGCTTCCTCTTTTTTCACCGCTTCTCCGTTGAATTACCCTTTCTTGGAAGTTTCTCAGGGTTGGCATCCGCAAAAAAACGCGAGGCACGCCAATCGAAACGCGAAAAGTAAACAGCTCCCGCGCGTCTCGAAAATAAGACAAATATTCACGGGCGTGCTGTCGGCGAGGCGCCTGCAACGTGTCCACTCGAGCATGCAGATACGTGTATTATTAAAATGCTGCTCTGTTTCGCGATTCGCGCGCCGTCTCTTTTCCTCCCTGCCCCCGTCACGACGTATCCTTTGATGTCTCTTCTTTTCGATACGACGGGAACGGCGTGTCTTTTTTGCGAGGGCGGGAGGGGCGGACGGCTGGGTGGGCACGGAGAGATTAATGAGGAGGAAGATACGCGGGACACTAATTGCGGACGATTTGCGCGCTTTGGAACTAGGTGTGCATTCAGCTTTTTAGGTCGGCTTCTTTTCGTAGGACAGTCAAGTGGCAAGTCTGACAGTAACCATATGACGCATTGCGTCAAAATCCAGTGTCGAGGAAACTGTTGCGCGAGATTTGGTCCGCTGGGGTCTAATCAATCTTTGCAAATCGTTGGACGGTATCGAGATTTTTTTATTCTTTTAAACGAATGGCACGCGACGGGAAACAGAAAATTGATTTCCTAATTGGGCACCCCCGAGGCCATTTTTAATTTGTCGAGCTTGATGGACTGTTTTCTTTGAGGATTTCTATTCAATTTTTAACGAACGTCTACTCGAACGTTTATCCCAGGTGGTTGGAGGACCCGAAGTTTCGGTCGTGTTGTATCTTTTGAAATTGAAACGGGTTCTGGTACCTTTCATTCTGGTGTCACTTTTGCTACATCATTTATAAACATACATAAAAAGGAGCCTTTTAGGGGTTAGGTACACCTAACCGTACCGTCTAAGTCACTTCACTCACCCTTACCGCAATGTACAGGAATGGTACTCGTTACATAACCATCTTCGAAATGACATTGTGCCATCTTTCCTTCTTAAATGAACACTCGAACCTCGACCACGATCCCTGTTAGGAGACCCGGAGAACGTTAGTTCCGCTTCACCATTTGAAACCAAAGCAGCTAACTGTTTTTACTCTTGAATCTATAACTTACCACACGCCGGTGCCAATTTCGACCGATTCATTCAGACTGCACGTCTGCTCGCACCACCACCGTGTAACAGAACTATGAATAGTGACGCAAAAATATTACACGCCGTGGTTTATCCTCTTCGTGTTCGAGCGTGTCCATAGGGCACCCCGCGTCTCCGACAACACGGAAACACCGGCTTCCAAGAAGAAGAAGAAGAAGAAGACGAAGAAGAAGAAGGAGCAAAGAGAAAGAAACTAAAAAAAAGATATTTTCTCTTGGAACACCTTTGTCCCTTCTCCCCACCCCCTACTCGTGATTTCCTTTCCCTACCGTGCCCTCCACCCCTTTCTCGTCCGTCCCTCTTCTTCCGTGGCTGACTCGTTCCGGTCGAAACGTGGCGTGTGGCCCGTAGACATCGCCGAGCCGCACCCACGCGCGCTATTTATCTCGTCGTCTGCCGAAGCCAAGTGCCAAGAGTGTATTTTTTCGCATACCACTCCTCCTTCGCCCCCCCATCCGCCCCCCTTCTCGCGGCCCTCACTTTTCCTCCTTCTCCTCTCCCCCCCCCCCCCCCCCGAGTCGCTCCGTCTTTCTTCTATTCATCTATCGGTCTATTTCTATCCCCCGATCCTCCCCTCGCCCCGTCCCTCTTATTTTCTGTTTCGGCCACCCCACCCCTTCGCCCCTTCCCCTCCCCCTCGCCCACCTCGTCGTCCGCCTTTTTCCATGATTTACAAGGAAACAGGCAGACTACGACGACCGAATCGTATCGAATGAAACGGTGGTGCCACTTCTTAAATTTAGATATTTTCGAGGAAGAGTTCTAACGGTCTCCTTGTCTCGAGCTTCGGGGCGAGCAATTGCGCCGATAGGATAGGTTTTGCGCCGTTTCTCTCGGATATTCGTCGCGAATCGTCCGAGGGTAGAGGGTCCATTAGTCGAAATATAAAAGCATCGCACGATAGTTCTCGCGGGGGAATTTTGTTGGCAGCGGAAAGGTGATCACTCCGTTTCGCAGGAAATGCGGAGTCCGAGCGAATATAAGTTGGTCGCTCAAGGTCACTCGGAGATCCCCACCTCTCGGGATGATGTTCGGCTGTGGGAGTCCTTTATTCCGCCTTGGTTCCGAGCTGATGTATAGAATATGCAATAGGATCTTTAATGTCGGGATTGATAGTTTATTTACCAGTGGTATTGGATGTATAGTATATAATTTGTTAGCTTATGTTGTTGGGATACATTATGGTTCGTGAGAATTTTCGAAAAATGATGTATTGCTTCCTTTGTGCTTCTAGTTACGGAAATGTTGAAGCCAATTAAATTGACTACTCAAGGTCAAGTCCGTACCCCATCCTGTAACTAATATCGGACTCTGCAGAACATTCGCAATTGTCGAAATAGATAAATTGTGCCCTGTATACTCCAAAAAGTTCAATAATTTCTTTTGTTTAAAAATACCATTAACAAATAATGTTGTATTAGAGTGTAAACATCGGAAGAGTAATTTATAATCTACAGCATGGCCGAAGACGTTTACGTTTATTCCCGATGAATCGTCCGTAAAATTCACCAGTCCGCGTGTGGTCGTGAACTATAATTAGACAGTTCCCTTCTCATCAGTCATGTTTTCTATTAGCATTGCGTAATCAAACCATCCCGATTATTCCGAGGTTAGGCGGTTGCATGAGCTCCCTTGAAACCCGGGTAAATGCGGACTTCTAAGAAAAACCTGGGATTTCTATGAGAGACCAAACATTCGACGGCCATAATTCTTTCTCACCGAGGGGTGAGTCAGAGACCATCACCGTTCCCCTGTACTCCCATCTCACCAGACACGATTTTACTTTATCGTAAATTAGATCACGCGCCTCCCGCTCTAGATCGATACCTATTTGTCACGTGTTTCGCAGCGATTCGATCTCCTCGCTTTATTTTTTTCTTCTCTTCTTTTTTTTTTCATCAATTCGTTGAACTTTCGAATTTAATTGCGAATAACTACATAAATTGATAATAAAATAAATATACTGTTTAGAGCCATCAGAAGGTTTCCAAGGTTCGGTAGGGGGCGAATCAGTCCCGATTTATCGAACGATTCGAGAACAACGCGAACGAGGGTCGATCTTCGATATAATCGCGGATAAGGCGGTTTATTTATCGGCCGGTTTGTCGCCACGGTGTTAAAATAACGCCCGTCGGGCCATGAAACGTTAAAATGGAACAAAGTTTACGCATCTCGGCACTCTCGATTCTCCTCAGGGGATCGCAGTTGTTTAGCGTCCATCATTCTGAAAAGTTTATCGTGGCCCGTTTCTCGGCCGCCAAAACTCGATGGCGCGACGCGGAAGATTCTGTTTTTCCACGAGACGACATTAAGGGAGACTATGTATTTTGGGACAACCTGTATACTTCTCTCGTATTTACCGTCGTGTTTTTTCGATTTAATTTATGGGGATATTTGTCGTACAGTTCGAAGGTGTAATCTTACAGATTTATAGCTTTATAATCCGAAATACATTGGTTAACGTGTCACAAGTAAATACGTATTTTTAGACACCCTGTATACTTTGCATTATACTCATATTCATATTTTAACGCAGCTTAGGAACTTTCCATTTCTGCAGTTATCGTATTCGAATTCAGCAATTAGTTGATAAAGAGGCAGCTTCTCCAACTTCTTTCACAGAAGAGGAAGGTCCAGGGGGATGCAATAATACACAATAACAAAATATCACCGTTTGTCTAAAAGAAAAAATTAATTTTGAAAGAAATTTGTTATTTATATTTTATCTATATTATTTTAAATTGTGTCCACCTTGAAAGGGTGCCTCCTCTAACCCCACCTAGGCATATTGTTTACAACGAAATGGCTTAAAAGCGAAACGTACGCAAGTACTTGCAAAGATCCCTGAAGAGGTTAAGCGTTTCCGGGAAATCAACAAATGTTCGTTGTTCCTAAACTCTTAGCGACACGTTTAAGGGCTCCCTTTGTGCGGGCCTAGGCGCCAGACCAGCCAATGGGGCTGTTTTATTGTAATGGTTCGCACATTTACAGTGTGATCATTGTACTCTTCCGTCGTTCGTAACCTTCGTTACGTGCAATATGGGTGCCACTGAATAAGTAAACGAGCATAATAATTCACTCAGCAATAATAGACGCGATTAGATACGAGCTAGCAGTGTGAATGGGACTTAATTCCAGACCAACATCCTCGAGAACATTATGCTTATGGCATTTTTACAGTGGCGGGCAACGTCCTCAATTTCCAGGATGGAATCTTGATTATTCATTTTCAAAGTCGTCGATTATTTTAATTAACGATGTATTTCCATCGTCTTATTATCGCGATAGAATAAATTTTGTACATGTCGCACGCGTTGACCTTCGTCTGACCTTGAATAGAAAAATGACGATATTTCAACGGAGATCGATTGTATCGAATTTTCGAATTTCCCCACGCGAAATAAAGTATATTTCCAACGATGAAATATTAATCAATTATAAAATCTCCGTCGGCCGCGATGAAAGCGCATAACTTTTCCTCGTTGCGCCGAAGGGGGACTACTTTCTCTGAAAGGGAGCATTATTGTACCTGTCACCGCGGTTTTCATTCTGTCCGAAGGGATCCGCTTTTTTTCCATTGTCGTCTCGCTCAGGCCGCCTCTGAACTGGTTTCAAAATAATAAAGGGCAACCCTTTGCCCCCTCTCCTCGCACAAAAGACAGTGACCCAAATTCAGGACCTGGATCTGTGGGTTTCACGCGACCTCGGAACGTGGATGTGGCAAAACAACATCTAGAGAACCTTAATCTACAAGAACAAAATTAAAAAAGAAACACGCGCGTGTGTTGAAAAGAGTCAATACGATTTTTGGAAGCATCGAGGGCATTCCAAGGCCAATACCGTCCTTGAAATAAATTTTTTTTAATTGCATCATCCTACATTCGAAAATATATACTTTTTATTCCATCATCCTACCTGCTCTTTCGATGCCCCCAAACAAATTCTCCCATCCTAATTATGATTTACTCATCAGCGAAAACATGTTTCCCCATTAACCAGTGATTCACGCAAAATGGCCTTGAAGCTTCTATCCGCGTCGTTATTAATTAAATGACGCGAACTCGAGAAGGGCGAGAGAAGAAACAGACGCGAAGGGTAGATATGCAGTAGCGGAGGGGGTGGGGTGGGGTGGAGGCCAAACACCTGCGGAGGGAATACGTATTGGAACCTACAAAAAAAGAAAAATGGTCGAAAAAGAAGGGCAGTATACGCGATGGCGGTCCGGTATATGACAGCTGCTGTCACGGGTGGTGCTTTGACCATGTGCACAGTGCACGCTCGGTGTTTTCCACACCCCCGTTTGGCACGTCACGATAGCACTGCGTGAGCTTATGCTTAGGTTCGTTCTTCGTGCGCCTACGGTTATCGATTTATTCGTTAAATTGATTTCTTACTGCGCATTGCTATTTTTGTTTAATTGGAATCCACAAACCTCAACAATTTCTATTTAATATAACAAGGAACGAGACATGTCGAGGTACAAATGCAAGTATTCGTTTACATGTTATTAACAAAAATGTGGGGTCTTCAATTTCCCGAAATGAAATCGAAAAGTCGTTTACCAGATTGCAACCTGAAGTCTCGTTATCTGGATATAAAAGATTCAAGTTTACTCGCGTGGCTTCCGGCGCGCGCCATGTTTACTCTAGTCAGCTGATCGCGCGCTTGCGCAAGCGCGTGCGGTCACACGCGCGAAAATTTCAACTGCTTATATCTCTGAAACGAAAGCTCGCATTGCAAAATGGATAAGGACTTTTTAGTTCAGATTGGCACGTGAAATTTCACTCCGAAAAAGGTTCCTGATATTCCGTAATATCCTGTACGAGTCCAATTATAAGAAGTCCAATGCATCAAAATGTGAATGTCAGAGGAAGCATGTGGAAGTGACAAGAACGATGGTCATAAGTGAATTCGGAGTTCTAATTGGATGGCATTAAATCACAAGTAGAAGTAGCACTAAGACAGAAGATAAATCGTGGCCTATCGAGGTCGAGCTCTCGGTAAACTTTGAGTTTTATGGATACAGGATTCAAGACGGAGTCGGATAACTGTCCATTTGGTAATTGCTAGGCCTCCCGTAGGAGAGTTAGACGTTATCCGCATAGATATCGGCCGCAACCCTCCTAGCAGTCTCCTGGATACCGTGGAATCGGAATTCGTTGTACAGTACTGTCCATGAACAGCGTCTCATTCAATATCTTGCATTCATATATTTGAAACTTCTATGACACCTAGTCTAATCTTCTGATCTATTTAAAGACTAATTGCAACAATAACAATCTCAACATGTGGACGTTAGTTGCATTAAAAAAGTAATATTCATCATTCATAAATGGTCCTGTATAGTCACGTGATCCTAATATGACCTAGGAAACCAATGAAGGAT